GCCATCAAGCAGAGCCTATATGCTTTTCAAGAGCTTCTGAATATATTTAAAGGTTTAAAACACACAAACCCCAAAAAAAGGCTCCAAAATTATAAACAAAAGAAATAGAGTTAAATGAAAAATTTTGCATTATTTTACAAAATTTTACGAAAAATAAAAGGAAATTACACAATAGAAAGTAGTTATTAATATCATGTTTACACAACATCATTAGTCAACTGCAACTCAAAGAAACTCTTCCAATTACATAAAAATTAAACTTAAAGTAAGATGTGAGTAGAAAACGTGTTCCTGAGGCCTACAAAGATCCTTAAGGCTGCTGAATTAATTTTACCTGTGGATGTCCCTGGAATGAAAAAGAAATTATGTTTTCTGCACACAAATTGAGAGCATTTACTCTTTTTTCTTGGTAGCTGCCAGTAGGAATATCCTTTCAGGAAGTGAAATTCAAGATTTTATGAATGGCACTTATTTAAATGACTTATCTAAGTGATTATAAGAGCAGTACTAAAAGGGAAAAAATGTAATTTTAACAAGGTTTAGAAGTTTTTTCTGTTTTCTTTCTTTCCTTCCATTCTCTTCCCTTCCTTTCTCTTCCCTCCCTCCCTTCTTCTCTCTTTTTCCTTCTTTAGATGGTTAGACAAAATATTTTCCCAAGCATTTCTGGAGTACATGGCAAAATAAGGTAGAGAAAGCTTGGTAGAAAAGTTTAACGTAGGCAGAAGGTTGATAGTTTGGATAATCATATTTTAATCTGTTTTGTTTGTTTTATGGCCTGAGATGAATTTTTTACTCTTTATAATTTTTCTCATCTACAGAGTGAAAAAATAATAGCCCATATTTTTATAGAGTATTGTGAATAAATTTTTGCAAGCTCCTTTGAAAATAAAAAAAGTGTCACATAAATGAAAAATATCTTAATAAGAATATCTCTGAGGGGATTGATGTCTCTGAGTCACACCACAGGGTCTCCTGAAAAGGAATTGGATGTTATCTCAATGTCAGCTTGGTTTGTACTTGACAGCAGAGTCCTGTAGTGCTTAACTTTCTTTATATTCTGATAATAGAGAAGTGTCCAGTTTTAGATACTTTCTTCGTTCTGCTCTTCCGCAACTGAATGTGGAAGTTTGCTGAAAGACTTGATGAGTGGAAAGAACAACAGTGCCTGGATTTGGCTTTTGAGGATTGTAAAGAAATACATCTTATGCATCCAAGTAGGGTTTGGGGACACCAAAAATATTTGTGTGCCCACTTGAGAAGAAATTATATTGCTGGCCAAAGAGAAAAGGTGTGCCACCAAGATTCCTTCTGTGAGGAATTTACTGGTAGCTGTTTTCTGAGGAGGAGTGACAGTTTCACTTCACTATTCATTAAATCTTGGTCTTCTTAACAGGCTGTGTGAGGTCATGATACAGTCCTTCGTTTGTAAGAGTTTTCCAATAAATAGGCAGTTCTAAGGCCATCTATTATAAGACTAGCATTTAGGACTGGGTTTCTCAGGTCCTTTCCTGCTCTAAATTTTTTCTTTCCTAACAATCCATGCAACTAAGGGTAATATCTGATACCGTGTTCACCGGAAGGAATCTGAATTGTTGATATTGCTTTTAACTCTGTGTTATGCCTTTGTAAAATTGACTTTTGTTAAGTGGAGTACAGGGTGTGGGATGGTGAGCTGAGGTTCAACAACAGACCAAAAGAGTACTTAAAATAGAGAAGACTATTGCTCACAGGTCCTGGAGGAAGTACATGGTATGCCTTGAGGGGCCCCATGGGGAGATCAAGGCCAAGTGCAGACAGAGAGAGAGAGGCAGGACCTGGGGTCCAAGCCTTTATTAGAGTCCATGGGTGGAGTGCCTTGGAATTCCCTAGGCTAGGGCTGGATTGGTCAATTTAAATAAAAAAAGCACGGTCTCGGTAAACTCCATCTGGTCTTATCTAAGGGTCTCATAAGGCATACAGGCACTGGGAAGCAGCGTAGACTGTAATCACAATGGTTGTTGGGGAAGTCACATGAGGACTTAATTTGCCTGTACCTCTCCAGGTTGCTATCTAGGGTGTGCACTTCCATGTGGGAGCTAGTGACAGTTTAATGTCCTTGCAGGTGACTTGGCCAAACAAAATGGATGCCCAGGCAGCAATATCATGGAGTAGCTTTCAACATTGTAGAAAAAGAGGAGTATAGAAAAAGATATTTTGAGAAAAACCGCCCCAGTATTGTTTTCTAATTAGATATGATTAGAATAGATGATCAATAAATATAATTGAAAAAATAAAAGAATGAGGTAGAGGAAAAATTGGTTTTGTTCTAATGTTAATTTTCAAGATCACTGTTTCTGTCCTAGGTATGCGTTAATTATGAACTCAGTTATTTGTGATTTTTGGTGAAACAAAGCGTATTTTGTAGTGAAATGAGTTGAAATAGGAATTAGTATGTGGGGGACAGAATTCTAAAATGGCCCCCAAGATTCCTGGCTTCTGGTGTACATGCACTTTCTCTCAGTTATTCAAACACTAATCTATGCACTGCTCTGAGGGGATTTTGCAGGTGTAATTTAGGTCCCAAATCAGTTGACTTTAAGATAAGATTATCAAGGTGGCCTGACCTAATCACATGAACCTTTTAAACCTAGATTTAGACTTCAAAGCCAGAAGTCAGAGATTTGAAGCATGAGACCAAAGCTTTGCTGGTTTAAAGATGGAGGGCATCGTGTGGAAAGGAATGTGGGTAGCCTGTAGGAGTTAAGAGCGGTCCCTGGCTGCAGTCATCAAGGAAACAGACTTCAGACCTACAACTTCAAGGAAATCAATTCTGCTAACAACAAAAATGAGTCTAAAAGTAGATTTCCCCCCAAAGACTCCAGATGAGAATAGTCTGGCTGACACCTTGCTTTCAGTCCTTTCATACCTTGAGCAGAGAACCCAGTCCCACCATATTGAGCTTCCAACCTACAGAACTAAGCTATAATTGGGTGTTATCTTAAGCTGTTATGTTTGTGGTAACTTCTCGCCATAAGAAGCAATAGAAAACTAGTACATGATAAAATTAGTGTCAAATTTATATTTTATTTTAGTTAATGGCCACAGCAAGAAAGTACAATGAGCTAATTCTTGAAATGGGCTGCTTCTGATACACCAGTACACAATCATTTCTATTTAGATGTGTATCAGTCATGCTCCAAGCCAGGAAGAACAATGTGTGCGGCATTTTGGGCAATAGACTCATCTCTCTGCTCTGAAATACTACCTAATTATTGGAAGGAAATGCAACATCTTCCTGTGGTTTTCTTCCCAAATGTTTCTGAGATGCCTCAGAATTAAGTATGTATAAACTTGTTGTTGGGGGATTGGAATGGTAGCTTTCCCTCTCAGAGTCCCAGGGTACCTTCATGAAATCCACATCTTCCATTCCAGTGCCTAACTTTGCATTGCTGATCTTGGACTATGGGCACCAATTGTTAATTTATTTTGGACGTCTGCCTTCCATGTTGCCTATGGGACACTGTACAGTCTGTTGTTTATTTGGTATTCTGCTTAGGTCACCTGAATAGCGACCTCTGGCCAGGGACATCTACACTTTCTCTCACTTCCTGGAGCTCTTATGATGTGCCTCTGGATCTCTGCAGTTTGACCTCTAAGAAACTGTCTATCCCTTTTATGAATGAATCTTTTTGTTTTTGTCGATGATGGGTGGAGCAGGAGAAAGAAGGGTGATGAATAGTAGAGCTTTGTAGACCTGTAGGGATGAATTCTGGCCATTTCTAGCAAAGTCTGATTTTCTCAGAGTGACAGGCTCTCCCTGATGGTTGAGAGGAGGGATTGGGGTGGTTAAAGATAGCCATAAACCATTCCTAAAACCAACCAGCCTCAGCTGCTGAGTCTATCTCCCATTTGTACTTACTTATGGGGATTTCTCTCTCACATGCCTTGTTTTCTTTTCTGAAATACATCCAGACATGTTTGTGTGGGCCTAGATTTCAATTTTGGACTCATGTTAGTCCTTGCCCATGAGCTCCTGGCTCCAGTCAAAACAAGGAGATGATTGGGCACTTATTTAAGGGTTCTCAAATACTTTTTGATAGGACTCTGTTCACTAAAAACATAGAGAAGGGAGGTATGTGGAGCACTGTGACGTTTGGGGTTGCCTAACTATCCCAGCAGCCAGCCTGGCTGGATCTAAGGGGCAGTCCAGCTAGAACAACCACAACTCTTGTTTAAAAAGTATCTCTACTCTTTATCTGTACAAAAGTAGCTAAAAACATAGCCTAAGCCTGGTTCCCCAGTGAGATGTGAAAGACTTTGGAAATTTAAATAAATTGCAAATATACATACATTTACTAATGATTTCTACCAGATTGCAGGTCTTGTAAATTTAGACTTCTACACAATCAATCAAGGAGGGCAGGCCAGCATTTTGTTAAATGTTCCTTTCTGTCATGACCTTTAGCTGGAAATCAACCATTTTTATTTTTAAAGAAAAGGGTATTTAGGAATAGGATTTACTTTGAGCGGATATAGTTGGTCCACTGTGCATCTGCTGTCTCTCTAAATACAAGTAACCTCCAAGGATTTACACCTTAGAGTAAACTTTTATTACAGATGAATTATCTGTTAAATTAGGGAGAAAACAGGCTTAACAAGGAAAGAACACATTTCACTATGGTGTACTTCCTAAACGCTTTTGTGGGAAAAATAAATATCATAGTAAAAAGAGATAGAAATGAACTGTGGTAGAAAATAAATACAAAATCACAAGCGATTCTTTAACTATCAAAATGCCTCTGGTTTAAGAGACACAAACCTATCTGTTTAATGTGTCCACTGTCCTGAAAGCTTTTTTTAAAGAATACATTTTATTGAGCTACATTTGATACATTATTTTGATCAATTGGACCTATAATTGCACATGGTACCGTTAAAGGCAACTAACTGACTTAGGATTCTTTATATAATTTTTTACCTTTCCCCTGGAAGGTTATTTTGTATAAGGACAGGTATTTTTAATCTCGTAACCACATCAGAAAAATGTAGAGAATATTTAAGTAAATATAATAAATATAATTGCCTATATTTTATGTTATTTATTAGCTTAAAAAAGTTATAAAACTGAGTATTAAATACCTAATGACATTGTTATTTTTCTATTGTTATTATTGGAAACAATCTTGTGAAGAATTTTTCTTGGCTCCTTTTGAGTTTTTCTTTCTCTCTCAAAATGTATGTTATAATTCATGCACACACATACATATATGTTATCAGTTTGAACTCAGTACATACTGTGAAACCCACCAGATTGTGCTGGTCTCATCATATCACACATACCACTTTATCTCACTTATTACTCAACATCCTGGCCCAAGAAGCTGGAATCTCTCTCTCTCTGACACACACACACACACACACACATGTATTAGAACTAACAAATGGCTGCATAGGAGCCAAGAGAAATGATGATGAGGTTTGGAGTTGTCATTTAAACTTCTGCATCCTCTGTTATCCCAGACAGTCCTAACGCTTTGAGCAAACAAAAGTACTATGTCTGATTTCTGCTTTAGGGGTTCAGTTAGATAAAAATAAATCATCTAATCTTGCAGTTCCACTGAAAGTATAAGGGGAAAAAATGAGCTTTTTTTTTAATATCACTCATGAATCCAAGAATATTAGTGAGTATAGTTCTGAGAAAAATCTTTTCTATCATAAGTTCCAGAGCCTAGTCAATGTAAAAATAATTCTACAAGTCATGTAACTATTGTCTTAAACAATTACAACATCTGCAACTTTAAAAAAAAAACACTTATGCCTGATTTCTAAATCTCTAAGACATAGAGTAGAATTTATTTTGTGTGGTTTCATGGTGCCAATGGCTTTTCTCTTGTTTTACACAGTGTTGGCATTGCGTTATTGAATTGGACCAGAAATGCAAGCTCTATTGCTGTCATCAGTGTCCTGCTGTTAATCACTTCCTTGTCCCTTTGCTCCACCATCACTCCTTCATGGCAATACTTCAGGGGCTGTTTCCATCATCCTCATCCACGTCCACTGGAGGATCAGATCTCTCAACCAAAAGGTTTAGTGCTGGACGAGTCGGGTCAAGCCAGAAAATAGAAACCAATTTGAGTATTTAAAGCAAGGGAATTTAATGTGGGAATTGTTGACTGGGGAACTGAAAACCCTCCTGAAACTGCAAGTGAACTCAGACATAAGCAAAAACAGGAAGCTACTTTGCCCCTAGGCTGGAGGGCTGGAGGCAGGAGGGCTGTTGCCAAAACAAGAGAATATCTAACAATAGATCTGAGACCAAATAGAGTTTAGATAGGCACAGATACTATTAAAATCTTTAGTAATGGCAACTGGAACTTCAATCCTCCCATCTTTCCATAGTCAGTCTACTCTCATTCTCTAGAATGGCTCTCACAAATATTCTCCAGATGCCTAAAGCTCCCTACCCCACCCCACCATGTGTCTGCTCATACACTCAACTTGTTAAACTTCCTGACTCCCAGTACAAACTCACCTGTCCTTTCTGTCACCATGAATGCAGTGTCCTTACCCTCCTAGTGTAGTTACCCACCCTGGGTTTTGGATTCTATTTCCTTTCCTTTCATCAGGGAATTTAAATGATCCGTTTTAAACTCTCTCCTCTGTCTTCAAATCATTTCACTAGTCATTGTCATCAGCATTTTGACATGTTCAAGTCTCCCCTCATTCTCCCCATTCCCACAAAAAAAAAAAAAAGGAAAAAAATGCCCACCTCTGTATCCTCCCATTCACAGTTAAGATTTTGAAGCCATTGTTTATACTCACTGTCTGCTCACCTCCTCCTCTCCCATTCCCTTGTCTACTTACTGGAATCTGTCTTTTGCTCCCTCTTTCTACTGAAACTGCACTCTCTAAAGCCACAAATGACCTTTTGTCTTGATGTAATGGAGAGTATATTTTTGGACTACTACAAAAATATATTTTTGTCCTTTGTAATCCCTAATTTTTAGCTATGCCTTAACTTCTATGTCAAGAGCTGTAATTGGAGGCTTCAGAAAATAGTTTTCTTCACTATTTAGAGAGGATATCACTTTCAAATTTAAGACTGAGATGACTTAAGGCTTAATTCAAACCTTTCCCTCCCCAAATCAATAAGCTGTAGAACAGTAGTTCTCTAAGCATAGTTTGGGGACCAGAAACATCAGCATCACCTGGGAACTTGTTTGAAATGCAAATTGTCCGAATCCACCCCACGCTGACTAAATCAGAAACTAGGGGGTGGGGTCAAGAAATCTGGATTTCAATAAACCCTCCACGTTATTCCGATACATACTAAAGTTTCATAACTACTCAGGAAGGGAAGAAGAGAAAGTGGAAAATAGAAAAGAGAGAGATAAATGAGACTTTTAGGCTCTAAAGTCTATTTGTTCCATTCCCTCTGGTGCAGTGGGAGTAGGGAACATCAAGGGCCAAGGGGTGTAGCAGAAACCTCCAGAGAACATTGCAGAAGGAGATGAGTGCATGAGTTGGGTGCTTCTCCAGGCAAAAGCTGAGGAGATTTATGCATCATGACAAATTGTGGTTCTGCTGAGGCTGTAGCCTCAAGTGCATTGCAGCCAATGCATAAATCTCAACCCACCTCGGTGAGCTGAGAGCACAGCTGGAATGCTAGGCCAGATGAACCCTAAGGACAAGAAAAGCAGATCACTGAGGGCACATACCTTCACGACTGGAAGCAATTTCTGTGGCTGGTATTGAACAGTAGTGGATGTTGGTGCTTGTTCAGAAGTCCTTATGCAGTCAGTTGTACCTTGGCAGTGACCAGTCATAAGGCAGAATAAAACAGGTCCTCACTGTGGAGACATGAGTATAGAACATAGGTCCAAGGCCTCTTTTTCCTCTCCACTATGAAGACCCAGTAAGCTCTTGTGCACTCCCACATTCTCGAGGATAAAGATGGGGAGGGAAGTCATTTGAAAGACTGAGAACTTATTCAAAAGGAACTTTTGTAAAAATAGGGAGAAATTTTGAACTAGAAGAATTTGTGATATCATTAATAGAAAGTCTAAGTTTTTCCACTTCTCAGTAGGGTGAGGATTCATGGAAAAGTTTAGATCATTGATTAAAAAAAGAGAAGCTGCTTTTTCTTTATATACCTGAGGATCCCTGTTCATGACCTTTCTTGATCTCTGCTGCTTTTCATGCTATTCATCTCTCCCTCTTTCTTGAATACTCTCTCCCTTTGACCTCAATAGCATTATGCTTTCACTGTCTTCTTCCTACCTCTGTGATAGCTTCTTCTCGATTTGCTTGACAGGCTGGTCTTCCTCCATTCATTTCTTAAATATTGATATTATATGAAAAGTTGAATTCCCATCATTTATCTTTATACCTCACCATCTTTAATTGTGTCTTTATCTTCATAAATACAAGATGGTTCCATATCCTCAGAATCATCTACATCTCAGGAGAGAAGAAGAAGAAAGGGAGAAAGAGGACAGAACACTTTACTTGTAAAGCTTTGCCTTTTTATTTAGTAAGGTAAACCCTCTCCAAGAGAATTCTGCCTACTTCTGATTAGTCAAAATTGCATGATGTGGCCCTTTTTAGCTGCAAGAGAGTCTTGAAAGTGAAGCATTTCAGCTTGGTTCATTTACATTAAAACAAAAGGGAGAGAAAGGATTTTAGGTAGGAAACTACTAGTGTCTGCCTCAATCCCTGATAATTAGTTCTCCATAGAGAAACCATAGTAATTCGACCCCAAAAGAGAATCTTTTCCCACTGCCTAGAAAAAAAATCCTTCAATCATTTCAGTAATGTGACTCAAGATAAAATTGAAGTTCCTTGATTTTAGCATGTAAATCCTTTCATGATTTGGCCTTTGCCCTGCGCTCCTTTCTTGTCTTGTCACATTCTCCTGCCATCATTTGATACTTTACGCCATTTGAAGTGCTCACAATTGTTATTTGTACCTTTGCCTATATTTTTTGCTCTTTGAAGAACATTGTTTCCTGCACTTTCATCTGGATAACTCATATTTATTCATAGTGGTTCCAATCAAATGACAGGAAGCCTTCCCTGACACCTGAGGCCTGGGTCAGGAGCCCTCCTATATTCTCTCTTATCCACACCATGCACAGTTACACTGTATTTTAACCTTCTCTTTGCCTGTCTTTCTCACAAGACCTGATAAAAGGCATTATATTTTCTTTACTCTTATATATCCATCCTGGCACACCGTATATACTCAGTACAGATTTGTTGATTGAATAAATAAGTAAAGTAGAATTAAAGTTCAGGTTTGAGTCAGTGAATTATATACAATCAATTCAAATATATAATGGTGACTACAAGTGCTTCAACTAACTAGAACTTGCACTTGACCTCTATTTTACCACTAGGGAAGACTAGAAAGAACTATCTGGATCTTTCTGGAGAAAGAGGATCATCAATGAATAATTTTGATTCTAGTTGGAAGTGTTACCACTTTTAATCAACTTTAAATTTTGATTCTTGTTTAGCAGAATTGCCCTAATTATGATTTCTTACTGTGAAAAATCTTTCAAGTAGTCTTAATGATGATGTAATCAAATTAACCAACACAAGCTGGTTATTAAGATGTAATAAGTTTTGGGGTACTTTAATGAAGTTTACATTGTCAAATAGTCATTTTTTTAATGTGGTTGTAAATGGTTTAATAGGTTGTAAATGTGTTGATAGGCTCAAAATATGAACCAACCACAAAGATTTTGGTCAAAAGGAGTATAGTACAAAGGCTATGATACTAAATGTCCCTATAGTTTCCATATTACATATAAACCCACACAAGGCACGCAACATTCATGAACCTCAAGTATAAATAAGTATACTGACATGCAAAAGTACAAAACTCACACAGGCTCAGCCATTCACCCAAGCAACTGTAGAAATCCTATCAAAGACATTGTTCACTGTGTCAGTCAATACTCCTCCTATAGTTTCATGTAATTATTACTTTAGAATTTAGTGCTGGGACAAATCTTCATTTTCCTAACAAGCTGGGAAGAGTCCTCCTTGCTGCCATTGCTGTCTTCTTCTTTTTCTCCTTCTTCTTTCCTCCTTCTCCTCCTTCTTCTCCTCCTCCTCCTCCTCCTTCTTCTCATCCTCCTTCACCTCCTCCTCCTCCTTCTTCTCTTTCTCCTTCTCCTTTTCCTTTTTCCTCCTCTTTAAATACAATGTGCATTATATACCTGATTCTTTAGTGCCTACAATGGTCCGGGCCAAATTTGAAACTCTATCATTGTGTTTACATTGGCCCTTATATGTGGATTTTTTGTCCTCTAAGTTTACATAGTCTTGAACTTCTGCCTCAGCTGACACAAGCTTTAAAACTTTTTTCATATTTCTGTTTTCTCTTAATTTTATTATATATAGTCTGTTGTAATTTTTGTTAAATCCTTTATGGAATGAGTCATGGTATAAACAAATAAATATCCCTTCACATGTATATTCACACTTGCAGGATATTGAAAATGCATAAAGAAGACACTTGTCTGTGCTTGTTGCTTGCGCTGAGAATGTTTCATAGAATCATTCTACATGCAACATTTAGTCTAATCAATCAGGACGGTCTATTTCTTTGGTTGCATGTTTTCTTAGTCAATATTCTCTTGCCCTCCTGATTATATCACCATGCTGATTGATCTGACCAAAATTTATACTTGCCGAAGTTCCTGAAATTATTCTGCTGGTTTAAGAACCAACACAACAAGAGAAAATTGAGCTTTAGTGAAAAGCAATGAGGCAGTAAAAATTCAGATCTGCGAGGACTGGTTTCAGATTTGTTATAACAGGATGATAGAAAATATATTTATGAGGTATCTAAAAATCTACTGTGTTTGAGGAACTATAATAAAGTTTACGTATGACCATCTCTCATTTTATAGATGAGGAAACTGAAGCTCAGAGAGATTAAAGAACTTGCGACTGTCACAGAAGTAGTAAGAGACATTCTCCAAAAATTTGATGAGATGAAAAAGTCTCTCTTTACCATTTTTCTGGAGGCTAGAATCACATTAAAAGAATAGCCTTTGATTCCAGACACACCTATGAATCCTTCACCTAATCCAGCTGTGTGACTCTGGACAATTATTTAATTCTCTGTGCCAGCTTATCTTTATCTGAGTTTGATCACAATTTTATTTATCTCTATTGAGCTCTTTTGAAGAATAAATGAGATATTAAATATAGAGTTGGTAGCACAGAGTCTGGCATATAAGTAGTTTTTAATAAATGTTAACTATTATAAATGAAAGGAAAGATGAATTTTTTTCTATATAAATCAGTGAACTATGTATCTTAAAAGACTTCCATAGAAAAGAGATATACTCATATGCTCTAACTGGTAGGTCATTTTAAGCATGAGCTACTTTATTTTCCCCTTCAGTGAATTGAGTATATTCTTAACCTGATTTCAATTTCCTAGAACAACTAGTGTATCCAAGAGAGTGTGATCTTTCCCTGGTTTTTATGTGGGCTTTCTGATTCATTTAAATGGGATCTGATTGGCAACAGGTCTCCAGCGTGCTCACGGATATCTTAACTACTCATATTGTGAGAAAAAATACCTCCAGCCAACCTGTATTCCCCTTCTTCTTCAATTGTCATCATCATCATCATCATGATCATCATCATCATTGTCATAAATAACAGGCATTTATTCATCATTCACTATAATATAATAATAATCCAAGATCGATTGATATAGATCTGTGTATACCAAGGGCAAAACTGATGTAGTATGGTTTCTGTGGGCAAGGGAGCAGGCAGAGGGGAATAAGTTCAGCTGGGTTTTGAATGAAGTAGAATTGTGGTAAGTAAAGTGGGAGTAGGAGAAGCTCTGGCAGAATGACCAAGAAATACGAGAGGATTAATTCACTTAGATGTGGTGTGTGTATGTATGGGTGGGGTGGGTCCATGTAAGGCAGTGGTGGGAGATAAGAATGTTAGGACTAAAAATGAGAGAGATGGATTTGGCCATCATTTCCAGGGGAATGACTGAAGAATTTTGAACAAGATTCTACTGAATCAGAATCAATAAAATTCTGTCCAAAATGAGAATTATCTGACTTTAAAAGATACTTCCTAATTAACTTAAGTGTGATTTTAAGTAGCCAGAATTCTAGGATGAGTTTCAGCTTGATAGTTTACTTCCTCAGTCCATTAAATAAAATGTTTCAGAGGTCGGCCCTTTGGCATGGTGCTGAGTTCGCATGCTCCTCTTCTGCAGCTCAGGGTTTGCCAGTTCGGATCCTGGTCACGGACCTATGTACCACTTATCAAGCTATGCTGTGGCAGGCATCCCACATATAAAGTAGAGGAAGATGGACACAGATGTTACCTCAGGACCAATATTCCCCAGCAAAACGAGGAGAATTGGCGGTGGATGTTAGCTCAGGGCTAATCTTCCTCAACAAAACAAAACAAAACGTTTCAGTTCCACCTTCTTTTAAATTTTATGTTGAAAATTTGGAAAGCCAATGTGTGTAATGATTGGGAGTGGAAAGACAGATAACATTTCTGGATTATACGAGAACATTTTTCCAATTTAGAGTTGGTATAACATCTAAAACACCAACTCTGGAGTAACAGTTTAGTTATTAAAGAACTATTTGTGTTCAGGTTCAGCTCTGCAAACTTGTTCATGTTTTTCTTAGAGGGAATGTTATAATCCTGTATGGCTATTTTGGCACAACTGTTTATATGCTTTTACCAGTTGGCCTAATTTGCTTCAAATGTTTGGAATATGGGATAACAGAGCATGCTAGAGATTAATCTGCTCATCATGCAAGAACATCTTAAACATTTCTTTAGA